TTAATTTTTAAACATTACACTTTTACATTACAAATAGTGTTTTGGTATATTATTAACTCTTAGTGTATTTCAGGAATTCAGAGGACTTTGATCGTATTTAAATAAGCCCCACCACAGTTGTGAAATTTTGAACAATAGTAAACCCATATATTGAAAGAGCCAACAGAACTTGTCAAACTTTGAGTCTATTGCAAGAGAAAAAATATGAAATAGACATGGGAAATATACATCTTTTTATGTTTGATATTGCTGTTCTCAAGGAAATCAGCATGATTTCCATGTTTTAAAAAAGGATCAAGAAGAGATGAAGGTCTCCTGATCATAGAATTCATATTGTTGGAAGCCGGGTGGTACATAAATTTAATAAATAAACATTTTAAGGGCATCAAAAAGAATATTTATTTATTTATTTATTTATTATCAAATTCATACAATTCCCCATACTCCCCAAAGGAGACTATGGCAGCAAAGAACAATAAATAAAAAAGCAATATAAAATAGATTAAAACCTGAAAGCCAAAGCAATAAATAAAATAAAAACAAAAATACTAACCTTGGGTGAAGGAAGGATAAAAATGACTCTTCAGCAATTGAGCCACTGGGACAAATCTCCATTTCCCTTGTAGCTCCAGGCTTTGCAGGTCTAGAGGTTGGCGTCGCCATTGGTGGTGTTAATGCACATTCTGTGTCTATAACATATAATACCTACCTAGCAGCTTGATAAAACTCACTTTGCTAGCAGCAAGTCTAAATAGCTCTGATACTGGAAATAACATGTAGCCATAATTAATAGCCCTTTATAGTGTTATACTATATGATTGTGAATATTATTTCCTTTGCTTTGCTACAATCCTTGAACTTCCCCCAGTTAACTAAATAAATACACATTAAAATAAACAAAATCATATGCTAACTAAAGCAGGCTTTGCAAGGCAAGGACATTGCAGAGCAAACTACCTCTGCTATAGAATGCGCAAAAGCTATCAAGCAGAGGCAGGGACTGTTTCAGTGTTGTTTAGTTTCTTGACTTTTCAATATCCATGCAGTGTGAAAAACTGAATATTTATTTGAAATACTTTCCAATTTGGCAGTATGCATTCCTTGGGTTCATATTTAGCAACGTAAACATCAAATATGCTGTAGGGAAATTTAAAAATAAATAAATGCATCTGTCAATTTTGATATAGATAAGAAAGCTTCCTGTTTTTATAATACACTGATTATTTTTAAATTTTATTCTTTATTTTAGAAATTTATAAAATGTAAACAGACTACCAAAATGCAGATTGTAACAGTAGCAAAATCAAAGTAATAAAATCTAAGAAATATTTGGCGGTGATGGGTAGTTCAGTAATGTAAAAAATAAATAAAAATTTAAAAAATGAAAATTAAAGAATTAAAAGACACTCCCCTCAAAAATCCCTAATAAAATACATCAAATTAAAAACAAAGAGATCAGAGTTAGACTGAAACTAAATATCTAACAAATATGTTAAGCCTATACAATTTGTTTTGGCTTACAAAAAAAATCTATATTATAACTCATAGTACTATATTATAATTGGGTAAAAATGGAAAATTGCATAATGATACCACTCTATTATCTATTATAAAATATAAAATAAATGCTAAAAATATTGATTTATTCTTTGATCAGTTGAAAATATAGCCATTTCCAAAATGGATAAATTGCAAATTTCCAAAAGTCACTCCTTTAGTCTGGAATAATAACACTTTTCCTGTGTTTCAGCATAATTCATTTTGCTAACCCTTGTGCATGATATAACCTTAATTTAACCATAAACCATAAACAGACATATTCTAGAGATTTAGTATAAAATTCAATATCATATTAAACTTCCCCATAAATCTGCTTGCGTACATTATATTGAAATACTTTTCCAAAAAGATACCAAAGAACCAAATAATCCGCAATCCCTCTAATTTTCTGTAACAAAGGGGGAAATGTCTGGTGGCATCCTTGCCAATACATTCTTTGGGGAGTCCAATACATTCTACAATTTTTGATGAATGAGCTTTACTCTCAAACTTACACTATATTGCCAAAAGTATTCGCTCACAACTACTACTAATTACATGGATGGGTGAGCGAATACTTTTAGCAATATAGTGTATCAGTAGTTTATTTTTGAATGTTAGGGTTACAGGCCAATTAAATTAAAATTTCCATATCTGCTGCTATTTTGGCTTTAAGATGAGGAAGGCACATGTCCATTGAATTGCTATTGTTTTTGTCATGTATACATTCTGTAAATAGAACAAAGACGTATCTTTTATTTTTATTTTAAAAAATTGTTTTTTTTTAAAATGCATAAGTTGGTCACTGGCTGTGCTCCCAGATTTAGATCCTGGGGATGTTTGGCAGTAGCACATAGCTAAATATAGATTGCATTGTAACTAAATCACATACAAATCTTTCTGCAGTTCTTATATTTGCCAATCTAGAAACACAAGCATCTACTTAAATATAGACAAGCCAATGGTTGAACGTTTCACCAGAATTTTCCACAATGTGATTTAATTTTTTGTTTAGAAGAGAATCAGCATTACCATTGGGCAGCTGATAATTCTGTTTACCGTAGTTTTCTGATTCTAAAGGGATTCATAACCAATGGCTAGTGCTGCAACCTGCTTTGTTGAGGCAGGTTCTGGATTTAATTCATCAAAGGATGTAGCTTGTGTGAGTAAATTATACTGATAGTCCATGTTTAGCACCATAGCTGGGACTGGCAACTGAGATATTAAGCAAAGTGGTTGCTAAGTGAAATGTAACTCTGCTAATGATTTTACTTCAGCTTTCCTTTGTTTTACAAATTTGCATAGGTCATGAATGTGAGGATTAGCCGTAAAGTTACTTTTTCATCACTATCATAAATGTGAACTGTTGCTAAATGAAACACTCACTAAACAGGATTACCTGGTGCATTCTTGTATCAGATAGACAGATAGTAAGCTGTAACATTACACATTTCTAAGATTGTAGTTTATGAAAAGAAAGTTTTTTATTTTCAATCTAAGCTAAATAAAAGAGGATCTTCTGAATCAATGCAGGAATATAATGATCTTTAGTACTAATATAACATTTTGTTACAGAGAAGGCTACTTAGAACATTTTCAGAACTGAGTGGCTTGTAAATTGCTGTAATATAACTATGAATGAATGTGAGTGCTACTTCTTACAAAGAGAAAAAATCACTATATCTGAATCAGTGCTTAATAGTGGTTCTCAGTACCTATTAAAATTTTTCTTTCTGTACAGATATTCAAGTACATGACTCAAGGACTTTTGATCATACTGTTTTTTAGTTAGGTGGGAGGGGGGAAGTAAATGGCAATGATCATAGTGATTTGTGTGTATTTTTTAAAAGATGGTCATTCAATTTACCATCCTACTGCCAGAGCAGCATTAAGGTCATTTTGCTAGTTCACAGGATTTCATGATAGCATAATCTTCAAAGCACTTCATCACTATTGAGCATTAGGAGGGAAATGGCATGGCAGGCCAACAGATTTTCATGCCAAAAGCATACGTTGTTAGACAATCGTTCTTGTCAGTCACATTTTAACAGCCACTGCATATTTTGTCTGGCTCAGAAAATATACCATAATATGTCTTATTAGAACGATCTGAAGGAATTCTTCCATATATACTCTGATTTGATGCACATAATATATAGGGGTTATACAATATATACTATTTACCCATAATGTTAGTAACTTTCTTAACTCTATTGAGTGCAGATACCAAAACTTAATTGAAAGCTTATCTAAAGTTTATTAATTTAAATATTATAGTGTCACAAGTAAAAATTTAAGGATTCACTGCCAATTTAGATGTCAATCTAAGTATTTGATTATATTGCTATGGTTTATAAAGAAAGGCATTTTTAAACAGAT